AACTTTTTCCAGGTCGTGTACTAGGTCATGCGCAGAAACAAGAACTAGGTCTAAGATGCTTTCTTCTCGAGTCGGGTCCTTGACTAGTTGGGTAAGGAAGTTGTCGTAAATAATTTCGCATTACTGCGTGGTGTAGTCTGAGCTCCTTGAGGCACAGATAGTTTCCCAGTTTATTTTAGGCAAATTGAAGTCTCCCAAGAGTAGTAAGTCGGAGTTAGGTGTCGAAAGAACACTGTCTAGGGCTGTTTGCAGATCCAGAAGAGGATTAATGTCGCTTCTGGGTGGCCTATAAAAGACCCCCAAGTTAACTTTCCTGTTTCCTGAGACAAGAATGTCTACAAAAAGTAATTCGGAATCACATAGAGGATCTTCTCTTTGGAATACTTTTACTGTATCCCGCGTAGCTATTAACACACCACCACCTTTACGGCCGTTGTGAGGACGGTCTCATCTGAACACCGTGTAATTTGAAGGAAACAATTCGCTGTCTATTATTGTTCTGTCTAAATGGGTTTCCGTTAAGACCATAATGTCATAACGATAAGTAGCGATTTCCAATTCCAACAGGGCCGTCCTGTTAACTAAGCTTCTTTAATTAGCATAGAAGACGGATATATCTGATTTGCGATGTCGATTTTTATAAGCCACGTTGCTGTCATGATTCCGATTACTTACACGGCTCGGACCAGGATGAGGATGAACATCTCCATGGGAGCAGATAATTTCAATACTGAACATCGCGAAGTGATTTCTGTAGTAGGGTATCCTACTTTTAGCAAAGACCCTTTTCTTCGTTCTTCTATTGGTGACTTTCACGTGACGTCACAGGCATATCCAATTACAGTGTCCACCATTACTGTGCCCCTCAGCAGCTGGGAAATGTATATAAAGTAATGCCATTTCTGTAGTGTTTTTTAATTTTCTCGTTGAAAAGCGCTTTTATAGACCTGTAAATGTCAGTACCAGTATTTTCGAAATATGCTTCATCACTGGAGGGTAATATAGAGAATCGTTACATCCAGAAAATTGAAAAAATCGGTATCGATCCAGCTACTATTCCAAATGAAGACTGATCGTGTTTACCGCCAGTAGAGCAGTCGGACTTGTTCAGTTTCTTGGTTTTGGAAACAAGTCATTACACTGACGACCAGTTCAAGAACTACAGAAGTCTGGAAGCATACAACCAAGTGGCTTCTGGGTCTGTGGCGTCCGTGAAGGGAAGAATTGTTTCTAGTACGACATTCACAACGTATGAATGGTCCTCTCGTCGACATCTGGCTTATTACAGGAAAAGATAGAAGAATTTTCTCCGCTCTTTGCTTAGGCTGTAAGGCAGGTCTAGCTGAATCGTGCTCGCACGTTGCCAGTGTTTTCTTTTATATCGAATGTTGGACTCGAATCAACAAAAAGTTGGCTCGTACGCAAGTAAAATGTTCATGGCTTCTTCCCACATATGTAAGTAATGTTACCTATGCAAGGGCAAAAGAAATTGATTTCTCTTCTGCTAAAAAGTTAAAAGAAAAACTTGACAATCACACTGAATCTTTTGATGGATACTCCAATCAAACTCGAACTACATATAATAGAGTGCAAACAACGCAGCCATTTAGTTACCCACAAAACACTAGTAATACTAAATAGTGCAATCTGTTGTTTACTATCCTTAAATTAACACTACTTTGTGCTATTTATTAATTTTTATTTTGCAGTTAAATTGTTTGCAATCTAAATGCAGGAGAAATCACCGAATTTTGTATACCAAAACATTTTTGTTGGTGTAAAATAATATGAAATCACTTACATTGATACTTAGAATGGTATATTTTTGTCATAGAATTAACCAGAGGTAAGAATTTAAAGACCAATATTGCAATTTATTTTCATAAGAATATATTGACCATTTCTGAATTTTATAAAACATATCTATTGGTGTAAAATAATGTGAAATCATTCACATTGATACATAGAATTGTACAACTTTGTCATAGAATTTACCAGAAATATGAATCTAAGCACAAATACTGCACTTCATTTTTGAGGAATATATTGTCATTTTTGAAATAATTTTGCAAAATACTGAAAACGATATTTTGTTCCTGTTTTTCATATTATTTTGACAACGTGCAAGATGACTTTTACTATTTTAAATATATTTGATTCAAAAATTCAATAATTTTTGTTGTTGTTACTTTTTAGTTAAAACCACAATCACTATTAACTTGGTATTTGCCATCCTTGACATGCATTAACATCACAAATGTTCTCAATTTAAGTGATGGACACTTGTTTACAAAAAATTATTTGTTAAAAAGACATTTCTCTTTGCTCTTTTAGTTCACTTAATTAGCAGCTAAATAATTTTGTCCATTAGTTAGAATGGTTTTCATTAACCTGTGAAACAAAGTATGATGAGTAGAGTGTAAACATCAAAATAACAGAAATGGAACTAAGGTGTATTACCCCAAAGTGTATTTAATGGATTAATGAAAACCATTCTACTAATAGATATCAATAATTAGTTATCATAGTGGCAATACATATGTTGAAAGTAATCAAGCTGTAGAAAATTGTATTTAGGTATCTGCCCAAAGCCTAGGTCATTAGAAGTGGTTGGTCACTAATATATTACAAAGTTCTTGCACTACCCTTGTGAAAATATTTTCCAGGATCCTGTAGGATTCTATCAGGATCCCAAACAGGATTCTGTCCAGGATTAGGATCCTCATTTATAAGAGTCTTAGGATCCCACAGGATCTTAATAGGATAATCAAGGTTCCAAGATCCTGTCGGATTCTTGGAAAGATTTCCACCAGGGTATTATTTTAGAAAACAATAAAAACTGATTTAAAAACTAGCTAGTCAAATGGTGCTATTGGTGGGCAAAAATTTACAAGGGCTGAACAAACTCTTAGAATATGATCTATAATGGGTACCTGTTTCTCTGTGGGACCATTTAGGTCACAACTCAAGAATTTAGTGGGGAGTGTTCTTTCTAATAGTGTATTTCCTTTGTAGTAAACCTATAACTTGCTCCATAAGGATACTAACATTGGGTATGCCTCTTGAATGCTCTACATCTACTGGGTCTAGTTGAGCTTTTCCTTTGGTGAATGCAGGAATCACTAGCTCTCCTTGCTTTAACCCAACACTCTCAGAAATTGTGAATCCTCTATCTGCCATTAGTATCTCCTGGTATCAGTTTTTCTAGGATTCCAAAGTTCTCATTTAAGAATTTATCCGAAGTTCTTCCTACCCAAGCTTCAGAAACAAAAGAGACAGTTCCTTGGGGTGTAATTCCCATCAGAATCTTAACAGTGTTTTGATTCTTGTATGAAGAAAAGGTCTGAGCTCTGGCTATAAGATTTGTTGGTTTCTTAATAAAACCTCAAAACAATTAATTATCAAAGTTACCTTACGACCAAAGGTATATTGAAAACACATTGGCATAGTCTTCCATAGCTGTCCTTTTCTGGCCAATGAATGAAGTCAGACCACCTCGAGTCAATTGCATGTATCCATGAGACGAATATCCTGGACACACTTGTTATGGACACCTCAAAACGGTATGCTAAATCTTGAAATAGTACATTTAAGCGTAGCTTCATCAAAATTATGATAAATTCTTGAAAGCTGTTCAAATTGGTTAAATTGGATCGTCTTGATACGTACGGTGACTTACATGTTCGAATACTACCATTAAGTACTTCAAACTGAGGCAATCCGGTGTGTAAAGGCGAACTTTATATGGAGAATGGAAGAGGTCCTTGTCTGGAACATGATACACAGAGTTCTTAAACAAATAATTGAATTCTAGTGCCTGAATTCCCCTATTTCTTCTGCCTTCAGAAACTATTTCAAAGTCCTCAGTTGAAGTGGAACGAGCAACCATTATGTGGACGACCGTTCGATTTCCCTTCTCTGTCTCGTTGCCGTCAAAATATCCATAGTTTGTACTGCCACAAGCCTCATCAGGGTCTAAGCTTGAAACATCGTCAGTAGATGCGCTAGCAGTGGTAAAATCTATGTTTTGTACAGCCAGACCACTTTGTTCCAGCTCTTTTTCTAGTTAGCTGCTTCGATTTGTTGACGCTCGATGTTTCTCTTCCTGCGCTCTTTGGCCCTTTCGGCCCTCAAACTCACTTCTTCTTTGACTGTAGGTTGCTTCGCTTGTTCTTTTCCGAGGTTTAGAGTTGGCACCCAGTCGATGTGATATCTATCCGAGGAGGCTGCAGCTTTTCCAGTAACAAAATGTAACCCACATACTCGTTCACTGTCGAGGATTCTCTTCGTCTCTGTAATCGCCTCGACTGATCGCTTAAATCCAGCGCCTTCTTCTCTCTCTCGTGAGCTCTTCGTGCTCTTCCCCTTGATTCCATACAATCTTAGGTATTGTATGACAGCCACGACAAACTTTCCGCTTTCAGAATTACATTCAACCACTATACAATGAACCATATTCAGTAAAAGTACTATGCATCTATTTGTTTGTTTACGCTTGAGGGGCACACTAATGGCGGATAGCAACCGTTGTCAAGTGTGGTGTCAGGTGGGTGAAAGTCAAGAATACACAACACGACGGACTGAAGAACACATGGCCATTTCTTTGCTGGTTTTCTCGTAGAAAACCAAAAGAAACACTACAATCTGTATAGTCATATGGTTTCACCGTATGGTTTCGGAGCGAACAAGAACCATAAGAAGCACAAGCAAGTCAAAAGGATATTTGGCAGAGCAACACTTGCACGTCCGACCGCCATCGTTTAACATTGTCGGAGCTGACTTTTTTTTAAGACTGACTACTAGGGACAGATTCTAGAACTATCGATAACGGCTATGTAAATGCCACTGGAACCCCGAACCAGAGAAACCCGAAACCACAAATATCTGTGGTTTCGCATTCTGATTGGTTAAACCGGTGGTTTAACCAATCAGAATGCGAAATTTTAGTTCAATATGCGTACTCGTACTAAGTTCTCGTTCCTTGCTATGACTTCCGCGTTAGTTATAATCAGTCCTTTTAATTGCACATTCTTCACCAATGAGCGGCACTTCTGGCGTCTCTCCAACCAAATCTTCTCCTCTAACATTTCTCTGAGGATTACAAGGTACAGAGGAATCATTTCTCCTACACAGGTGCGTTAGCAAGTACGTGTTCCGTTTGAAGTTGGCTCGATGAGAAATCGAAAGTAATTCAGGCCTATTCAGCTGTTGTTAATAGGGAACTTAAGCAAACCACGACGGCGACGGCAACGAGGACGTGGAAAAACCAAAGATCTAATTGGTAGCACAATAGCTCAGCACGTGCCCTTTAAAACTTTGTACATTTCTCAGCCGTCCTTTACAAAACAACAACGTGAAATCATCAAAATATGCGTCGTCTGCGACGGCAAATTATTTTCATATCCATTTGGAACTCAACGCTACTTTTATAAGTTAGGCTGAAGTTGAGGTGTGGCGTCGTATGAGACGATAAACACATGCAGCCATTTTAGAAAGTCCAATTAAAAGTAGAGATTCACTTGTTATTCAACGTCTTCCCTGGCGTTGCCGTCCTGACTGCTTAAGGTCCCAAATGTGGACGTCGTAACGTTTCGCAAAAATATTATGATACGAGTCGAATAAATATATTATATTAAACGTTTTCTCGTGTAGTATCGCTGTGTAATTTTACGAGTTGTGCCGTATTTTGACGAGCCCTACGGGCTCGTCAAAATATAACAAAGATTAAAAATCCTCAGCGATACTACGCAACAAAACGTTTCGTAAGAGATTTATTATCCAACACGCCAAATTGTTATTTCAGTGCGGGAGAATTTCGCGGATATATCTGGAGTACAAGATATAACGTGATATTTGTACTCGAGACGAGTACGAATATCGCGTGATATTTGTACTCGTCTCGCGCGTTACTTGTACTTTAAGAAGCACAGTTGGGTAATAAAAGTCCTTATTTACCACAAGATCAAAATACAATTACATAAATCGTGTTAGTAAGCTAAAAAAAAAAAAGGTGAATACCGGAATTCAAAGTATGGAACCGAAAAGCCCACGTCAAGTTCCACTCTTGCATAGGCTCGTTTCTCTGATCTAAGTATTTGTACTTGTATGTTTTCTAAATTTTTTTGTACAAAGTTAGATATGCGAGAACCATTTTCTTATTTTTTGGGAGTAACAAAATATGGAACAATCTGCCGTTTGCTTACAGAAAACCGAATATTAAAGCAAATTTATGGTTGGCCTTAAATCTTTCCAACTTCAAAGGGACATTACTACCTTCTCCTTTTTTTTTTCTTTTTTCATTGACAATTGATTTTACAAACTTGCAATTTTAGTAACAGTAAAGTTTTCACTTTATTAATTAATTATTGTATACTTATGGTATACAATATAATTTCCTTATTGGGGTTTTCCTGCCAATTCTATTAGTCTTTCTATTTTATTACTAAACTATTAGAGTAACAGTATTTCTAAGGTCATGGTCTTCTTCACAGGTATAAGGTTCTGAAAAGTGGAAGTACAGTTGCAGGCCTATTTAAACATTTTGTCAATCGTGGCTTTTAAGAAGTTATTTGAAGGTAATTTCCTTGATATGTATGCATTTTTAGGAAACATTGAACACTGTTTTTACCCTCCCTTGAAGCACCACAAATGTACTGACCATAATATAATAAGGTCTAATGATTGTCTGGAATAGGTGGACATGACATCTTTGTTACACCAACTGGCACACGTACTTGACTTCCAATGACTGATAGGCACCATTTTTACCAGGTCATAATTATGGCCTTTGAATTAACCAAATCCTTGAAAAAATGTCAGTGCCATCCAACGAATTATGGATATTGTCAAGGAAAGTCTTGAAGAGATGCAGACCACTTACACTTGCTTGAGTCATACCCCTATTATTGTTTCCTTCAATAGCGTTGTTATTTAGGAATGTTTGTTGTCTGTGCAACAAGGAGCTTAGATAACAATCAAAGATGTAGGGGTTGAGATACACTCATGCTTAACTGAGTCAAATCCTGAGTCTAATATGTCCATTGAAAAAAGGCCAATGGAAAATAGTTGTCTCACAAACCCAGAATTTTATGTTGGATAGACATAAAGGCATTATAATTACAACCACTGCCTTCTTTTGCAGCCTAGAGTGTGGGTTAGACATCACTTGTTCTTCCCCAAGGCATAGCTGGTGTAAGAAACCGTTTCAACCACTCTGGCAGTGACAAGTGTTGCATGATTTCCTGGTAGTTACAAGAGTGAATTTCACAGCTTTTCATAGTCTGTAATAAGTTAACATAGTTAATGTATGAAGGGGGCATTGGGGTTTATCAGAAACTACAAAACCATAGAGACAATCAGCCACAACTGCAAAACTGTGAAAAAATTCAATCAAAACCAAAAGCAGCATGCAAAATGGTCAAAACAGATAAATTTTCACATCCGAGTTAACAAAACTGTAATTAATCAAATACAGTGGTAACAAGGGGAGCATACAGATCGAACGGAAACCAGACACAATTAGAAAAACTGAGGAAAACCGTAAACCAATTGCTAAAACATGGAAAATCTGCAAAGCTCAATGAATGCCAAAACCGAAAAAAAAAAACACAAAAATGAAAAAACTGATCTAAAACATAAAAATTTCTTCACAAAAAACTTAAAGACTGAAAACATTTTTACCTCTGTTATAGCATAATTCAACTAATAATGTAATAGACTAAGTGTAGTATTCTTACTTAGGAGCAGTTTGAATAGACAATACAGTAATTATCCCCAATAACTTACTTGAGCTAACTGTAAACTATATCTTAGCTGACCTCCAACACAATCTCACGGTTTGCTTCAACATTCCTTAAAATGTCAACAGACTTCAGCAGCAGTTCTCTTTCTCTCTCTTGGTGTAGCTTCTTGGACATTTGGTCACTCGTACCCTGCTAACAACAACAGCAACTATTACTTCACCACCAAGTCTTTAATATATATATATATTTACTAGGTATTCCAGAACATTTCAGAAGCTTACAACACAACTATTTTGGTATTATATTACATCATAACAACAAAACAGAATATTCTAGAAAGTTCCATAGAAAGTTCATGTTGTTGTAAGTAAGCAGGACAAGGCATTCTGGAAATTTCTAGATTACTTATTTTCAGTCACTCTCCATAACAACCACATAAATTTTCCCCCTAGACTGTACTTCTACAATCAAAGGAAATTTCAAATATGCATGCAGAAAAGTTAAAGCTGTTCCTTCATGGTCTGCCTCCTGATTGCAGAGGAAACAATCTGAAAGATTTTCTTGAAGGTATTTTACTTAAATGTGTTTTGTAAATATATATACATGTTGTGAAATTTTATATCCGTCAGATGATTATCAGTTTTCGTACATTTTTGATAATGCCACTCTAGTGCTGTCATGTTATTGTCAACAGTATCTGTCGTACATGCACATTCCTCTGCCTATTCAACTGTTTTATGAAAAGGCTTGATCTACGGGTAAAAGTGAAGAACAGTTCCCAAAAGATACTGTTGGCCAACAGTCGGCCGACTGTGGGCTGTCTGTCAGCCGACAGTCGGCCAATGGTCGGCCAACAGTTCGCCAACTGTCGGCCAACAGTTGGCCGACAGTTGGTCGACCGTCGGCTGACAGTTGGCTGACAGACAGATTAAGATATAAAGGAAAAACAATTCCCCAACTTTTCCATTTTTTTTTTCTCTGAACAGTGATTCATTTAGTTTTTGTAGTGAATTGAGAATTATATAACCCTGACATCTGCAAACCTTTCAGGTGTGTATGGCTTGCCTGGTGTCATCACTAAAGTGAGCATTCCCTCCAAAAAGGTGAGTCTTTTAAGGAACAAAGAAATTGAATTCTTGTATAAGGCCATAAAGTAGACTATTTAAAGAGATTTCCATTTTGAGCACAAACATTACTCCTTATCTATTACTTGACAGGTAGTTGGGTGGAAAATGTAATTGCAATTTTATAATTGATGAATGATAATGCTGTTGCAGTTGCAATTTTTTGGCATCAAATACCAAATTGGGGTTATTAACCATACAAGTAGCCAAGATAGTTAAAGAGAGGTGACAACAGTTACATTGAGAGGACAGAAATGACAAACTCATTTGGTTGAAGGGCCTTGCTACAACCAGTTGCAAATTGGGTTGAGAAAATGGTACCACCACAAGAAATGATTGTTCACAGTGCGATCCAGCATAATGTATCCCTCTACTCCCTCCTTTGCAATAATGGTAGCTAAGAATGATCATGTACAGAACTTTTTTTGCAACTGGTTGTCTGGTTTTCTTGTGCAGGCCCTTTCTATTTGAATCCAACAAATAAATCTGCTTGATTCATCTGCATTCTGTTGTATTCAATGGTTGAATTGAGGAAAAAGTGGGATTCAAAATTTAAGTAAATGTTTCCATCTCTTCCGAAAAACAAAGGTACAATATGTACATTTGTGATCAAGGAAACTTTCACAGCTTCTAATCAAGTGGAAAATTAAAACTTTCCTCAAACCTGCTGACTCCTTACATGGGAAGAAATGCATCCGTGTATCTATTTGGCTGAGGCTAATAAACTCCAGCCTGTTTAATTAACCCTTTCCACTCTTGCATTAACATTCATGTTCTCTGTTATCACAGTCTACAATTCCTATGGTACTGACAAGGACAATTTGTTTAGCAATCAGGAGCTTCTTAATCTAGTGATAATGTCCCTTTTTCTGTTGACCTTAAATTAACTTTTGATTCAAGGGGTTTAAGGGTCAACAAAACAGGGAAATTCAAATTCTTCTAGGTTATATACAATTGCCTAGACTTAATGCTAGTTAGCACTGTTTCATTGTTAACCATAAAGAAGCCCTCAAAAGATGCACCACTCCTAAGACTTTAGCTGTGGTTTTCAGTTTGATTTTGATCATTTGGCTGGGTGCTAAAAGAGAGGAAATAGGGAAGTAGTGAGACCAGCTGTGCACCTGATTGTTTAATAGTGTTTTTATTATACACCATTCAAGAGAACAACTACAAACGAGAATGACTCCTTTTTTAAAAACCAACTTCTATTTCCTTCCAGACATATGCCTTTGTGTCAGTATCTCATCCAGAGGTAGCAGAAAGGTTGCTGAGAAATGTAAGTTAAATACCACCATTATTGATAGTTGAAATATTTGTGAGGCAAGTTAGAGCTTCATCACCTGCTCTGTCAACCAGTTTGAGGAATTCGTGTTTCTACAAATCTTACAACACCTTATGGAATACTGTGCTGGAGAGACTAGTCCTGTAGCAGGGATGAAATATGACTATTAAAAATAAGTGGAAATAGAAATTCTAAGATTCTCCTAAAGTAGCTAGACTTAATAAAATTTGAAGGTATATAATTATGGTCATCTATATCAATACAGTCAAACCTCAGTTATCCAGACCTTGATTATCCAGATTTTTCAATGATCCGAACTTACCTTTCTAATCCCTATTTGTCACCAATATTAAGAGTATGTCCACAAGAAAATCAGGCACAACCAGACAGGGGTGATAATGCTAAAATCTATGACTTGGCTCAAACTTGGCACAGATGCGAAGTACCACAAGTTAACAAATGTGTGCAAATAATAGGTCAAAACATGATATGCCAGAAAAACCCTCTTTCATGCATTTTTTGCATAACTTAATTATAATTCGCTACCTAAATTGGTATTGCTGCTGTGACAAATGGAAAAGCCTTGTATCTACTAAAACAAGGAATGACCTAAAACCACCTAAAACAGGGTTCGCACAGGTCATGGAAAACCTGGAAAGTCATGGAATTTCAAAATTTCAATTTCCAGGCCTGGAAAGTCATGAAATTTAGGTGTGGGTCATGGAAAGTCATGGAAAATCAATATGCTCTCTATGAGTGAAAGGCAATAAGACCCAAAGTTGAAAAGTTAACTGACGAGTCCAAAAATCAGATTTAATTTCATTAGAAATAAACAGAAGCACGCATTGTGAGAATGTTTGCAAACAGGTCTTGGAATCTTTCAAAAGGTCATGGAAAAAGTCATGGAAAAAGTCATGGAAAGTCATGGAATTTAACAGGTCAAAAGTGTACGAACCCTGCAAAACCACCTACAACCACCTTCAGAATACTATTGCGACAATTTGTGACAATTTTGTTGCCAAATTTCAATGTAAATGCACACCAGAAATGTTGTCTTGTTTCGCGGGTTCCTATCAATAGTGAAAACTGAAAATCTATAAAAATCTATAAGTCATTGTCTGCAACATCTGCCAATTCAAAATTAGAGACATCACAAAAGTAACCTTGGCAAGAAATTCATCTCGCATATCTCGCAGGTCATGACCTGGGAAAAACACAAAGAAAATTTTTTACACAGGAGCAGCACCAAGAGCCTTAAGGTTTTTCGAGTAATAGATAGACTACGTTTTCGTGGTCATTGTTTTCAAGGTCTGAGTTTTTGAGGTCTGCTTTTTTTCGACGTCTGTCTGAGGTCAATGGGACATCAAGCAGGACCCCCAGTAGCAGGAAATTTGATGAGGTTGCATAATATAACATTCTGCCTGTTGCTGTGAAATCGAAATCCAAACAACCATGACCATTTTAAATTGCTTCAAATTGGGCTACGTTGTGAGCGTACAGCAAGAAAACAAAAACAGTGTAAAATAAGGTGCTATTGTTCGTGTCAACTTCAGAAAGAAAAGTAATCGGTACTCCTGTAGAGTACAATTTGGGATAAATTGTACTCCTCTCGTTCAACCAGAATCCAGTAATTTTGGCGACCGTTTGAGCATGTAGAGTTCGTCCCAGAATAACAACGACATGTACGTACCTCTTTGGTAAGAAAAATGCACTGCAGCTATATTCTGGTAATATACCTAATGCAACATTTCCGGCATGAGCCATTTGACATTGAAAATTGATTTCTGAAGGTGGTTTTAGGTGGTTGTAGGTGGTCGTAGGTCATTCCTTCTTTTATTATTTATGGGCCTGCAAATTTAATCAACTGGGTTATGTTCCGTATCCATCAGACTTCAATAATATGAAACTGCTTTAACTTTCCCATTACAGTTGTTCCCTTACCTCTCCCTGAAGTAAAGATAACCTTTTTTAAGGGTCTTTTAAGGCCCAATGTCTCCAATGACCAACCACTTATGATCATAATTCCTACATGAGTTGAGTGAAAATTTGACCTATTATTTTCACACATTTGCCAACTCATGATACTTAGTATTTGTGCCAAGTTTGGGCCAAATCCATGATTTGAGCATTATCGCTTCCTGCCCTATTTGTCGTGGACACTCTTGATTAGTCATATCCAAAGATAAAATAAATCCATAAACAACTTTTTCACTTGAAACACTTCAGATATACTGAAACAATTTTGATGCTATTCCATTGATGCAGCTTCAAAGAATGATAGAATTAGCAACATGCACATGTTGTAGCAGCTTGAAACAGACTGATTTATACAATGAATATATGAGGTTCATATATTTTGAACTGCGGTATTAGACACGCATGATGCACGATCCTCCCAGTAGAGAGCGCTATTTATGCAATAGCGAAAATCAGGACCTGAAAAAAATCAGGCCTGTACGGGATTCGTTTATTACGAATCAACTTAACGGCCTGCTCCCAGTTGGCTTGTTAGCTCAATTGGTAGAGCGCTGCACTACTATCGCAGAGGTCAGTGGTTCGAATCCCGTACAGGCCTGATTTTTTTCAGGTCCTGATTTTCGCTATTGCATAAATAGCGCTCTCTACTGCGAGGATCGTGCATCATACGAGACTGAATTATGTCAGCATTGTAGGATGTTGTACCAAATTTGTTTTAAGATGTACATATTTTTACAAATATTGGCAGTGAAGCACGATGAGTTTAGAATGTCCTTTAATTCTTGGGTAATGTTGGTTAAATTATATGTATTCAGTTTTGTTTTTTGGTCATAAATATAAGTAGTCTCGATTATCCAGACTCTCAATTATCCAGGCTATTCAGCCCTGGAGTCCCTGTGAATCCAGTTATTCGAGGTACAACTGTATCAAGGAAATTATTAACTAAATTACTTTCAGTATGATAGAGCACAATTGAAAAACATTCACCAAAGGTGAGAAGCAACAATGATCAGTATATTCAACAGGCACTGCTGTACTGTGATGGCAATGGACAGTTTTACCAAATAAAGGCTCAACATTATGTTAAACAGCCCTACAAAACAAAACAGTGGAGGAATTTTTCAACAGAGAACAAACCGAAAACAATTTTAACTTGTGGGGCTAGCCTTCAAAAACCAGGGTATACACCACCACAACATGTTCACCAGTTGACTCCAGACTATAGCATGTTGTTATTTTCAAAATCGAAGAGAAAGAGGAGAAAGAGAGATGACTCTTTGGTATGGTTTATTGGTGTTTGTTCTACTGCATCAAAAAAGAAACATAAGAGGAAAAAAAAGAAGAAACAGGTTTGTTTGAATGTGCTAGTTGTGTATACCTTAATTTTTTCCTGTAAGGGTTTAAATGTTCCTTTTCACTTAGCCCCCACAAGCCACTCGTGGCGAAAACTCATAAAAACAATGTATTTGACATCATAATTATCATGCCATGCAAGCACACTTTAGAAGAAAACTAGATGCCTACAGGCGTTTACGCGGGCTACTCTATATATGTGTGACACAGAAAGAGCATTTGGCCCAAATATTTTGTTGGAATATAATACTGAGTAATGGCTAAGAAAAAAAATACGCTAAATAAGAAACTAATCCTTACTGTCACTGATATAAGTTCACGCCTTCTTGATACTGTTCACGCAGTAAATGTCATCTTAAACGATTTCCATATGGCGTCCATGTTGCTTGAACGCTTTCATGCTTGTAGGGGAATACCACAGACGGTCAAGCAACGCAGGCTTACACACTTTCGACAATGTCAAGACCATTGTCAATAGATAGATGGATTGGCAGATAGATAGGATGATTGACTGATTGATAGGTTGATTGATTGATTGATTGATTGATTGGAAACCGAAACATAGACTCGGCCTACTGTGTAGCTCGAGTAAAAAACGCTTTTTTGCGTTTGTCGGTTCATCAAGTTCACCATCACCTTTATCAGTTCCCCCTTTTTAAGGCAAACTATTGAGGAAATGTTTGTGAAACTGAGTGGAAGAGTGAAGATCAATGAACTATGGGGGGTCATTGTACAATACTTGAAATCTTGATTCAGCAATAATTTCAATAAATGCGACAAGCACGATGCAAACTCTTACTGCCAGAAGGAAAGGTTTTCAAAATCTATTTCAAACTCTACAGAGCAGTTACCTTGCTGCACCTTAAGATTTACACAGGTCTCAATGACAGGTTTCTACCAGTCTTTGTTCTTTTACTTCAAGGCATTCAAGCAGGAGCTTCACAAAAGTGAGTCATTTCAATTTGGTAGTCGGTGTCCAGAGAGTGATGTAGAAGTGGGAGTGACTTCAAACACCAAAGGGCTAATTGCACCAAATGTAACTTGTGCTGCACAAATTTCTAACCAAGACTTGGCAAAGGAACAAGAAAATGATCTGGCAATGGGTGTAAAAGCCAATGAATATTCATCCAAAATATGGTATGATCAATGTTATAATTATGCCAATAACAACAACATTTCGCCACAAAATGAGGTTGGTTCAGTGGAATATTTCTAATTAAACCTTGAGCTGTGTTTGTATCGCTATCAGGTACCTAGTTAGCACTTTTTTTGGTACTCTCATTTAGACTGGGACTCTACACAATGCCTAACCTACAACAATACCTACTTCCAACGACTGACTCTGGAAAGCTGGTTTACTAACTTAGAACAGACTCCCCTCAACTGGTGTCAGCCACTACCAGCGCCATACAAACGACTCATTTTACAGACGAATGACCGAAAAGAACGACCTAACCTTACCAACGGATCGAAACAGACCAATCACGACCAACTTATGCCACTCGAGTCTTACAGTGAATAACATCACTGCAAAAATGACCAATCATTTTATACGAACGGGACTTAGAACACTCGACTGAACTATTTACTTCACTCTGATGATGACATCCGCTCAGGTCTTCGAAACGTCAGTCACCACAACCGACAACAGTCCTTCTCAGACTCACCTGCATGATCAGTTCAACGTAGAGCAACAAAGTATAGTTTAGGGTATCCTGACGCCCTTACTCCCTACAAAGAAAGGCTTATTAAACTGAACCTATTGCCAGTGTCGTATTGGCATGAAATCAGAGATTTAGTTTTTTTCTTTAAGGCCATTAATGGCATATATAACATCGATATTACAGAGTTTATTTAGCCCAAACTAATAGTTAGATCTACTCGTAATAGTTGTTCCTTAGGTTATCAGCCTTTGAAATGTAGAACGTCTCTTTATCAACGTAGCTATTTCAACAGAACTGTTAAGTTATGGAATTCTTTGCCTTTGTTATTAAGAACTTTACCTAGTGTTCTTTCCATCAAAGGATCATTAATTAAACGTTACAAAAAAGCTCTTATCGAAACGTTCGATCAAGACAATGTTTTTACTTGGAAGTCCTTGTGTCCTAAATGCTTTGCCACCAGGAATTTAATTGGTTTCCGCCAGTGTTGGTTCTAATTACTTATAAACTATTATACTTACGCATATTTTATATAGATATTTTTAAGACATATTTAATTAGTCTTGTATTTTTTTTTTCCTTTGGACTTTCGCCTAGTTGGAGCTTGCTCTGTTGTGATTGTTCCTTACCGAGCTTTTTGCTTTTCGCTTTTCGTTTTACTATTGAGCTTATTTGTCCTTCTTATTTATTTATTTATATTTTTAACTCAGTGGAAGTTTAATAAATAAATAAATAAACTTCACTATCACATTAAACTTTGCTTTGGAAGGAAGTACCACCCCTACAAAAGTCCTTGAATAATCCTCTAGGTAGCTTGAATTGGCCCAATTACTTGACTGAAGTTTGCCTGAAGTTGATCGGAAGGGTATAAGTATCAATAGTCTGACTTCTACTGGATGTTGTGTTAACAATTTAAATGAAAGCTTTTGCATTTGACATTTCATTTCAAGGTTTTTTACTCTTTTGTCTTGTTTTGAATGGCATATCTCCAAAACATTGCAGGGATTTCATTACCTTTTTACATAAGTGGCTTCCGATGGTGCAATGGGCGGTTGCACCCGGAAAAGAGGCTGTAAGGCAAAAACCAAACGCGAGAGCTTGCTTGTTGGCTGAACAGATGGCGCTTAGAAGTCTTCGCCTAGCTGCACACCATCAATAACTGGCTTTTATTGAGACTCCTGCACTGTAAACCTTTCACATGGCTATGTTTTGTTTTGTTTTGTTTTGTTTTTTCAAAAATAATTTTTTTTTTCTCAAGAAAAGTGATACTATCAAAGCGAAAACTTGGGTACAAAAAATGACGCTACTGTGTCTACATGCCTGCATGCATACATCAATGCAGGCGTAGATTTTAGTCTTAATTTATTCATAATAAGAATGAAAGCGGTCTTATGCTTGTGGTGTCGATTTTGATAAATCCAAAAGTGGAAGTAAAGAAAGATTGTTCAGTAAATTAAAAAAATTAAAGGGTAAGTTTCTAAGGAAACTGGGTGCTGGGTCGGTGGGAGAAATACCAAGATAATTTGATTTTATTAACTGAGTTGATGATATAAAATGGTGTTTCAAGCGTTAATCCTTCGTCAGAGCGAATGGCGATGGAATGACACTCGAAATGTCTCCTTTAGAAACCCTTTACAGTGGCCAATTTATACTATCGACCCCATTGATATAGCAAAATTATCTCGTTAAAAATCAGATAAGAAATTACATGTTCATTTTTTTCAGCTCAAACACTCAAGTCATTGTGGACCATAGCTATCTCGGTCCACTGTGTTTGCAGTTACCTAACCCATCATCAGTTGCTGATGTAAAAAGGGAGATTATGGATAGAACTGGACTTCCTTTCAAAATCCAGGTTCTTTACTGTGACGGAAAGAAGGTAACTGTGATAAAAGAATAATATTAGCCAGAGGTTTTGATTTAAGACATAAGATGGGTTTAGATATTTTTCGTCTTTTTATAAACGTCTGTTACATTTCTTTCTATAGGTATGTGACCGTCTCAGTGTGAGTTCCTTACTTGGTGACAATCATGACAGTCTCACACTGACTTTATCTGAGGGCTCGCTTAAAGGTGGAGGTGAGAATGTGACCTAACGAGTTCTGAGTGTTTTTGATGAAGAAATGTATCGTAGCACAAGTCAAGTTCGAATAAAATAATTTTCTTTTCGAGAATATCACTTGACCGTGAATGTTTAACAAAAAGAAAAAAAAAGCCATCAGAGACGGTAAGATAAGAATCAGGTTTTCAGTAGTCAAAACGGATTTCCACTGCAGACGTGATAAAAAATAATTCATCGTGTTTTTCGTGGGTGTATTAATTATAAAGCTTAAAACAGTCGCAATCATTGCATACGGCAATGTTAGGAGTCCTTGCGGAGGCTCCCTATTTACTTACTTGAGTGTATAAACCTTTTCTATATTAAGCAAAAGATACCATTTTGCAATGTGTGTATCCCTCTGTTTAAAGCAGCCGGGTTGGGAGGGTTTGAACTTAACCCTGCAAATTTTTTCAGGCTGGGTTTACGCTTTAAGGTCCGGATTGTGCACCTTCAAGCCGGCATGGCCACCTTAAATGGAGTGAGCTTAACTCCATAGCTTGCATCTGCGCGCAACTCAGGGACCACCATTTAAGAGGGTGGGTCGCGGAAAGCTCAGGCACTGGGGGCATGGTTTTGTTGCGGCTAATATAAATTGCAGGGAGTGAATAACTACGATTTGGACCTGGGAGTCAACAGGAGCTTAATATCCAAGTTAACAAATAAAGAGAACCATTATTAATGATGGGGTGCAATGCTTTCAAATTTAAAACTGCAGTTGGCCCAAAAGAAGAACTGGAACAACATGAAGGAGCTGTTGGAGGAGGAAGAAATCGTTTAGTTTCAGAGAAAGAAGGTGATTAACATGTGAACACTACAAATTGTATTCTTTACTAGAAATCTTCTAAATCACTATGTCACTGAAGTAAATTTATTAGGAAGAGGAGGTCACATTCAAGGTTCTGTTTCTACCTATTTCCAACCCAAAAATTTTTATATGATGATCTATATAGGTATTATTTGGTGTTGGGACCTACGGAGGAACGTGAAATAAAAAGAATGGTGTTTGCTTTGCTAGTCTGAAGAAGTGAGCACCTTGAACGCTATCACTAAGAGATTAAAAATGCTGATTGGAATTCGGTTGTAACTCATATGAGCATTATACTGAATTGAGCTCGTGTTCATATCGGTACAGCTCTTACACTTTATGACCCTCACCATATCTTATAGGAAAACTATCGATGGAAACTTGGAACTCACAAAAAACAGCTGCATGGCTCTGTGCTGATCGTGAGGCGTACGTCAAATATGCTGAGATCTGTAGAAAGGAAGACATTAGTGGACGCGCGTTATTGTTATTAGCCTCCAAAGACCCTAGGCAACTGCGTTTGGCTCTTAACTTGAAAAAGGGACCCGAGATAGTCCTTATGGACCGTCTTAAAGAGCATTTAGATAAATTTGAGGGGAAGAAATCCCAAGCAGCCTGCACTTCTGTAGAGGAGATGAACAGATGGACGTGCGAGGAGCTTTGTATTTGGCTTAGGGAACTTGAAATACCAGAAGAGTGTTTAAGAGAAGCAGAGGAAGAGGAAATCGACGGGCCTGCCTTTCTGTTAATGAGAAATTCTAATGAACTGAGGGATTGCTTGAAATTAAAAGTTGGCCCGTGGATTGTTCTCCAGCATGAGTTATCATTGCTAGATGAAGAAAACAGGGAGAAAGACTCACCAGATAAATCTCTCCACCCAATGCAGGTGAAAGAAACTGATGAGCCAAAAAAGCTATTGGCCCCAGAAGATCCTATGACCCAAACAATATCAGATGCGCCAAATGTATCAGCGAATATAAAAAACAGTGGAACAGACTCCATAGATAAACCTTGTTATTCATTAGCGATGAAAGATAGGGATGAGTCTGAAGAGGCACTGGCCACAGAAGATCGTAAAACCAAAGAAATATCAGTTGCACCGCGTAAATCAGATATTAAGGAAAACAGTGGAACAGACCCCGCAGATGGACTTTGCTCCGCGCTAACGATGAAAGATTTGGATGGGTCTAAAGAGCCACTGTCCTCAGAAGATCCTAAAACCATATCAGATGCACCAAATATATTAGCAATTAAGGAAAACAGTGGAACAGACTCCGTAGATAAACCTTGCTACTCATTTACGATAAAAGATTTGGATCAGTCTAAAGAACCACTAGCCTCAGAAGATCCTAAAACCGAAAAAATAGTAGATGCGCCAAAAAGATCAGCTAATGAAGAAAACAGTGGAACAGACTCCACAAATGAACTTTGCTCCTCGCTAACGACGAAAGATTTGGATGAGTCTAAAGAACCACTAGCCTCAGAAGATCCTAACACCGAAAAAATATCAGATGCGCCAAATAAATCAGCTGTTAAGAAAAATAGTGGAACAGACTCTGCAGATGAACCTTGCTACTACGTAACAATGAAAGGTTTGGACGAGTCTAAAGAGCCACTGTCCTCAGAAGATACTAAAACCAAACAAATATCAGAAGCGCCAAAACAATCAGCTATGAAGGAAAACAGTGGGAGAGACTCCGCATATGAACTTTGCTCCTCCCTAATGATGAAAGATTTGGATGAGTCTAATAAGCCACAGTCTTCAGAAGATCCTAAAACCAAAACATTACCAGATGCACCAACTAAGCCAGCTATTTCAAAGGAAGAAGAGACACCGCTTTCATTGCTTAAAATTGCACTGAAGCTAGACATAGAAAATTCAGAAGATTCTAAGGACAAAATGGAATGTCAAGTCAGATCAATTTTCTTTAAGCGTGGCAAGGGTGCAAATCCCTTGGAGAGACTGTTCAAATTTACTATTTTAACACTAGAAGAGTTAACAGATGACAAACCCCGAAAACTATGGAGGCAAATAATAGAAAATTCAATGGCGTGGATGAAATTGTTATCTGATGAAGATTCTATCAAATTTAGGTGGAACGAGGCATCGAATGAGTTAGTATACAGCGAGAGCAGCGAGGAGATTTCTCTGCGAGAGGGAAGCGTAAGTCAGATCTTTCTCGACAAGCTCGCGCCTGAGGAATTCAAAAAGAGTTATTTTGTTCTACTGATTGACAAGCAGTTGGAACCCAAGCCCAGGAAAACGTGCACATGCAGATTTTCTTTTGACCGAAAAGGCAAGAAAGTTTATGACATCAAATTGAAACTAGAGGGAAATTATCACGCGGCATTTGATGTCAGCAATCCGAGTCAAACCTTTAAGTGGAGCAACTATTTTAATTCACTCAAGAACAGAAGCAGTGACCTTGTGAAGGTTAACGTAAATCCTCCTGAAAGTAGAGATCAAAGACCAACTTGCGATCAAGTGCTTTATCAAATCCCGAGACCTTTTGATGTGGAGCATGGGGTAAAACCTTACGTTCAAGGTCGAGTTTTTAGATGCTGGGAGACTGGGACAAAAGATATGATAACCCCCATCCACGAGTTTAAAATATTCCGAACAGATGTCAACCCCATTGTTAACGAAATGGTTAAAAAATTTGTTTACGAGACCTTGAGGTTTGCATGCGCCTGTCTTAACGAAAGAACCAATGGAACAATACACTTTGGAGTGGCTGACGAAGTAGAGGACCAAACTTGTGGGTACAAACCAAGGGAAATTGTTGGTTCTGTAGTCACCAATGTGCCTCTTTACAATGACAAACTGAGTGAGTTCATTGGCAAGAGCTTTGTCGGACGCAGTGGAGCAATTGCCCAGAATTGCATTCGGCCTGCTGTGTTTATACCCGTAAGAAGTTCCCTTACCGATGAAGATTTAATTAACACAGTGGTTATAGAAGTCGACATTGTGCCTTCGTATTCCCTTTGTAGTGATGATATTTTCAAAGTGTGTTTAAAAGACCTAAATCGTGGTAAGAAGGACCGTGAAGCGACAGCTTATATTAGACTTGGATCGCGCACCGTGGCGATTGATGATGCAAACAAAATGGAAGAATTCGTGAAAGAGCGGCTGCCTAAGTTAGTTGAAGAAAGGAAGAACCGCGAGCAAGTCGCACCGAGACAGTCCTCAGAAAATAAAGAATCCATCAAACATCTGTTCTTTAAATTTCAAAGACTTCTGTGCGCAAACAAAGACTTCCTTGATTCCTCAGTTTACCCGATTTTGGTGATAAGTAAACCACATGCTAGTATGAGTCCAACTGTTCTCAACGAAACATTTCGTTTCATTCAAAAAATAAAGTGGCTCACAGTTATCGATTTCGATGACGACGGTTCAGATAGTAGTGGTCTTTGTCAAGTTTTCAAGTCTGGCCCCGACTCCTCCCAGATCGACATACACGAGGCGGAGGATTATGATGGCGATGAAAATGCAGTTGACAACATGTACTACAAGACGCACTGGATATTTGGGAATGGCTACCGTAAGCTTGAAAAGGAAGCCTTAGGTTTCAAGCAATGGAATAATTCTAAGCGTAAAAGAGGCTTACTTCAAGTAATACAATCTCTTTCTAAGAAGATTCCAGACATTAGGGCAGTGGTGCTGTTCTTGCTTCTATCAGAAGACTATCAGGCTATGGCAGATACTTTCAAAGACTTCTGTACTTGTCTTGATGGTCCAAATCAGTTAGTTTATGTTGCGGAAACTTCTGAGATTGTGAGAGGCTGGGAAGGTATCCTTTCCAATACGTGCTTAGAGGCGAATGAGCTTCAGGAAAGAGGTGTCGTTGGAATGTCCTGGCCAGAATTTCAAGAGTGCGTCCTGCAAATGGTTTTAGGATCCGACAAAGAACAGCGTTATGTCATTATGGCAAGTGGAAGTCTCTATCCCGTGGGAAAGGTTTCTTTTAATTGCCTTGACATTGTGAGTGCCAAGGAATGTGACGAATTAAACAATCTAAGTTCTGCGGAACGTTCAAAGCTCTCCTCAGAAGTAGAGACACATTTTTACAGAGGATATCCAGTAGCATGGAATAATTTTTGGTTTACAGATAATCGAAACAATCACGTTCTACGACGGGATAATTACTCTCAGCTAAAGGACTTGCTGGAAAATATTTATTCTCGTAAAAGTGAAGGAAGGGTTCAAACGATCACTATATATCATCATATAGGTGCTGGAGCTAGTACTATGGCACGTCAAGCCCTGTGGGATTTTCGGCACAAAGCAAAGTTTCCTTTCCGATGTGCAGTGGTTACAAGGATTGACGACAGTACTTGTAAAGAGCTATTGCAACTCCGGAAAATAGGCTATCGGGCGGAAAGTGGAGTACCTTTTCCACCTGTAATAGCTTTAGTAGAGGATACAGATGACCTTTTGTTTCGAGAGTTACGATCGCAGGTCGTAGAGCAGGCCAGTACAGTTTGTAGGACAGATTTGCCCGTTTGCGTATTCCTGTATTGCAAGACTGCGCAAAAACCTTATGAGTGTCATGAAAAAGAAAAAGAAACAAGTATTTACCTAGAACAGAAGCTTAGTCGAAGAGAAGTAGAATGGTTCAAAGACAAGTATACAGAAATGAAACAAAAAGCTGATAAGAGAGACCCTGTACCTGATTTTGATAACTTTGCCAACGAGAACCTTATTTCTTTCATGATAATGAAGGAGAATTATAACCCGCAGTACGCCTCTAGTATTGTTAGTAGGAATTTAGATCTTGTGACTGGTAATGAATTGTCAATGCTGAAGTATACTTCTCTTCTAAACATTTACAACCCGTTTCCAGTCTTCACGGCAAGTTTTGATTCTTTGATGTTACCTTCTAGTGTACTCTGTAAGAAAGAATTCAGAGATTGGGTGGAATATCTTAGCCATTCAGCACGAATTTTCTTACGAGATTTCGATTATAGTACGCATTTTGGCACAGGAAGGGCCATTGCTATAGTTCATCCAAACATTGCTGGTGAGCTTCTTGATCAGATAGCAGCGAGGGAACAAACATCTGTCAGTCAAGTTACCCTGGAGTTTTTAGATTCTCCCTTGTTACAAAGTGAAGCAAAGTCATTCACTTCAGCCTTTCTACTTGACGGGGCAAACAGAATGCTCAAGCATCGCAGGAAGTACGAATATGGAGATGACCAACAAACGAAATTCTCACCATTAATAGAAAAGATTTTGTATGTAAGAGATGACTCTGGTAAGAGAGAAACAACAGAAAGAAAAGTGTATGAAGCGGTTGATGTCCTAAGGGCAGGGTTGGAGAAGTTTAAAGACGCTATGCTCGCCCAACAAATGGCTAGACTTTTTTACGTGAATGCAGCAAATTTCGGCGATGAAGGGATCGAGGAGTGTTTCCGTATGGCTTTCAAGTTTTGCACCAAAGCAATCGAAATGAATCCGAATAATCCGTATTTCTTTGATACTATGGGTCGCATTTATGAAAGAAAAATGAAGGTCTTGTACGGGCCCATCCGTGAGGATAACCGCATAATAAACGCACAGTCTGCCATTTCAGCCATGGAACTTGCTTTTGAGGCAATGAAATGGTTTCAAAAATCAATAGGGACGTCTGCATACTACGAGAATCCTTGTGGTTTCCGAGGTGAAATTTCCGTCATGTTCTACCTACTAGACATCCTTCGTTGCACAAAACTGTTTTCCGGCCAAGCGGGTTTGATGAAGTTACAAGGATATCTGGCTGTTAGTCAAGTTATACCACCTGAGGTTGAAGAGCTATGGAGCAAGTTTCACGAGCCCATTAAAGAATTAAAAAATATATTTAATCGATGCATGGAAGCCCTCGCCGAAGAGTTCACCATCTACAAGGGAAATAGTGTAGAAGCAAAGCTTTTACCACGTCAAATTGCTCGGTTTAAGGCTCAATACCTCAGTTACTTCGGTGATAGCGATTTGGACGTACACCCTGAAAATGCAAGAGAACGGTGGGAGTGCAGGTGGCAAGAGATCAATCAGATTCTTGTTGGAGACATTTTTTCTACTGTGTTTAAAATTGATCATTCCAAAGCTCATGAGACACTCGCACATCTGAAAGAGTTGGCTCAAAATAATTATTGCGAGAAGCTTGAAGACAGGGTGCGGTACAAAGATTTGCTGCTGTTGATAACGACAAGTATGGCGTTTCACTCCCCATATGGCGGTAGACGGAAAAAAAAAACAGATCAAAACCAACTGATTCAGGAATATAAAGATATATTCAAAGTTGTTGATCAGCTGTTTGCACTAGAAGACTGCGAAGGAAATAAGAGAATCTATGCACATCTACTTAGAGTTATGTTTCTCTGGCCACGAAAAGAATTGGAACTGAGTGAATATCATTTGAAAGACTTTTATGACGCAATGCAAAAGCTCAAGAGGAGATGGAACAATAAATGTAAAGGGCATGTTGACACAGACAAATTGTCAACAAAGAACATGTACAAGTTTATGTCGTTTAAGAAAGAGACCAGGCAGTACACTACTCTTTTCTTTCTGGGAAAAGGGAAGGGGTTAGATGTTTTCGTTCATATAAATGAACTCCCCTTGTCTCGAAATACAAAAGGAACACCGGCTTGGGAAGATGGAAGAATAAAACAAAGGCTCGAACGTCTCACTGGGGTTGTAGAAAGTAGAAACATTATAAAAATGAAAAATCCTCTCGATGCGAATCAAACGATCGATATCTATTATTCTTCCTTTCGCGAGGGAGGATTTTCCAAGGAAGAGGTTTCATTTTACTTGGGCTTCAGCTGGCCACAACCAACCGCGTTTGATGTTAAGTACACCAAGGAAGGTCATGGCCGAAAGTCAGTGGAATTAAGTGACCTAGTCCATGGCGACCATATTCAGTTCAGTCTACACAAATTTGTTTTTACTACGTACGAAGATTATACTCTCAGGAAGGGAAAAATTTTGAAGAAGCTGACTGAAATCGACGCTTTGAAGATGAAGAGAGACAGAGGTGAAAAGCTAGAGGAAAATCAGGTGACGTATTTCAACTTCACCATAATGATGACTATTTGATCCTCATTACTGAATATTCAGCTTAATGATTATAAAAGCTGACGTTTCGAGCGTTAGCCCTTCGTCGGAGCGGAGAGAGGAATTGTGGGTTGTAAGTGCTTTTAAAGGCAGAAAATGGAGCTACGTTATTGGTGGGAACATGGCAACGAGAAAAACACGAATAAATTAGTGGAATGAAAAGCGTTCGTTGACACCTGTGAGATTTAGACTGCCGGTTTGAAAGATGAGCTTTTGTTCAAGAGTTTTGCGGATTTCCGTGCTACCTAAGTGTAAGGAAAGACCGCAGATTGCCGTTATGTTGCTTAGAATGATTAGGTAAATTAAAATGTCCAGCGACTGGTTTCATGTGTCCTTGTCATTCCTCTCCACGTCGCGAAGGTGTTCTCTTATTGCAAAAAGATTAACATCGGCGAAACAGGCAGAAGACTTGGTGACCGATTCCGAGAACACCTTCGCGACGTGGAGAGGAATGACAAGGACACATGGAAACCAGTCGCTGGACATTTTAATTTACCTAATCATTCTAAGCAACATACGGCAATCTGCGGTCTTTCCTTACACTTAGGTAGCACGGAAATCCGCAAAACTCTTGAACAAAAGCTCATCTTTCAAACCGGCAGTCTAAATCTCACAGGTGTCAACGAACGCTTTTCATTCCACTAATTTATTCGTGTTTTTCTCGTTGCCATGTTCCCACCAATAACGTAGCTCCATTTTCTGCCTTTAAAAGCACACACAACCCACAATTCCTCTATTCGCTCCGACGAAGGGCTAACGCTCGAAACGTCAGCTTTTATAATCGTAACGGTGGCCAATTTACCATTTCAACTTTGTTGATATATATATTCAAATTATTTCGTTACCCCCACCGACGAGCCCCAAACAGTTTCTTTAGAAACTATCGGCCTTTAGTCAGCTTAATGCGGTAGTGGTATACACCTAATTGCAATAACGTTATAATAGAAAAAAGCAAAAAGCCAAATAGGAATTAATTACATTAATTGATTTACATTTGCGTATTTTAATAATTTAACAATTATTTAAGAACTCGTTCACAATAATAAGACATAATTCCGTAATTTTGCGATTAGAATGACACCAAGAAACTGAAGTGTGTGTGTTGTGAATGTTGCAAGCAATGATAATTAAGTGCTAATTAATTCCTATTTGACTTTTGGTTTTTGCTTTTTGCTTCTTGCTTCTTTCCATGACAACCTTATTGCAATTAGGTGTATCTGTTTGAATTTTGGTTACCCTTTATCTCTTTACCTGTGTAGCATCATATTAGTCATTGATTGTTATGTGGTTAGATTATTTACTACTAGTCATTGACTGTGATCAAATGTCTCCGACTTTATGTTCTTTACACGTTATTTCGTCAGTCCACTTTTTTAGATTGATTTTACTAGTGTCACAATATCCCCATAACCCCAGTGATGTTTTTTTGTCCTTCAAACATGGTGACCAGTTATGTGTGCGGACAGCATGCTTTCCTATATATCTGACTATAATATCTGTTTGGACAATTTTTCTCTTTAATTTTTTTTATATATCTCTTGAAATATTTATTATAAACTATTTTTCGTTGCACATAAAAAGGAGACTTAGTCGGACCCTTCAAGAAAGAAAACTCAATTCCATTCGCTGTTCTATTTTCATCCATTAGGCTCTGCTATCATGCTTCAAATATCACACAGGCTTCGTAGCCTGAAGTTATGCTTTGATACTTTGGAACAGTTCGTTCCCCGGCAAAATGAATTTTCTCTCATTCGACATTAGTTCTTAGAATCTTTCATTTGTTCTATTTTGTTAACCTTTCTATGCTAAGTGCATTCGCTCATGTTTGTGTAATTAAAACTATCGAAGGTTCAAAGGCTGAAATTTCTCTCTTGTCTACAGAGTTTGCGAGCAAGGATCATATAGCTGACTTCATCCTTTCTAGATTGGCTAACTTCTGATTCAAATATCACTCAAACCGGCAATAGTAACATATGCATCCCCTCGTTAGAACTGTGCTGTTCATATTCAATGAGCTTTGATAATATCTTAGAAAATGATCCCTAATCTAGTTTACTATTCTAAAACACCACGTAAATCTTCCGCTATTTTGTCCGTTAACTTTGTAGCGTTAGTGTTTGGTGTATCCCCGACGGGTATACACATATCACAGGGGATATTTGTTAGGGGCCCTTTGGTGATGAACATATCAATGTGAAACAAGAACATTGTTCCACTTTGGTTAAGCTGCTAATTTTCTCTTGCATTATGATTAGCCTTCACAGGAAGCTGTCAATACACCGAATCGATACATGGCGTCCAATTTGAATTACTCACTAAAATATCATCCTTATGTTTTCAATTGGTCTTCTGTAATCCAATTGTGACATAGTTCCAACTTAGGTTTACATGGTCATTTTAAGTGGGGATCAAGGTAACCTCAAATTGTTTGGAGCAATACTTAAGTGCTGTACCTTCGATTCGGTGTATGATAGCTGTTTAGAATTTGAACGCTAAGCGTGTTGTGGCTACTGAAAGTTTTCTTGTATTTCTTCTCTTACAGCTTCAGAAAATAACCAGAGAGGTAGATCTCAGGCGGGAGCTTCAACAGTTGAAAGAAACGTTCGATTCCATGGATGCCCTTGAAGATGAAATATTTGATTAAACCAGGTGTGAAATAGTGCAGGCTGAAAATTTTCCCAGACGGCTTCTTTTATACGCCATTCAGATAGATAGATGGAGAGATAGTTTAAAACTGCATCGCAGCCAAAGGCTGAATTACACAATTATTTACAAAAACTTTACAACATTTGAAAATTACAAATGAATCCTAGATAATAAATCGAAAACTGATTTTTAAGATAATATTAAAAAATTCTGTATAACATATTCATATAAATATGTTAAAATGTAAAGCATGATTGTAAGTGGGATAAAACTACAGCCCAGAGTGTTTCGACATCGCATATATAAACGTATTACTTGTTCTGTTCGTGCAAAGCTTTGGCATATTAAAAAGGCGCTATCCTCTTATATTATAGCGTGAGTTGACATGGTCTTGTGGAAGGAGCGCCTTCAATTTATGGTTTGGATCACTGACAATGTTATCAAAAAGCCTGCTACATAGTACGTAACAATGCTCCAAAATGGGTGTTAGCCCCACCTCTATTGCCGAGTAGCGCTTTCCTGAGGTTATTATTGATATTGCTCTTCTCTCGAGCCGTACCAGCTCTTTCTTTAAGTACTGGGGGAGACCGTTAAAAAGACAGGTGCAGCATAATCAATAACAGATCTCACGCACGATACGTAGAACAGTGCTAGATCTTGTTTCGAAACTTCCGCTCTCTTTAACTGAGTTAAGAAGTAGAGTCTCTTGCTAGCCTTTTTGGTTATCTCAGTTACTTGGTCGTTCCATGTTAGATCGTTCGCTATTGTAAGGCCTTGTAGCTTTGTGCTAATCACTAACTCTACCTCCTTTCCTTCTATGATGACGGGATCAAGGACTCTTTGCTCTTTAGCAAAAGAGATCCTGAGTTCTTTGCACTTATCGGCGTGTAGTTGGACCCTGTTTTCGCGAGACGACTCAATTCGCCTTTATTACGCCACCGCCATCTTGGAGTACGTCAGCAGAAATCTGACACGAAAACGAGGTCACGCGTGGTAAACAAACATGGCATCGTGTCAGACAGATAAAAAAACATTTGAATTTTGGCATAGAAATTTAATAAATATTCCACTTCTTTCAAATGATTCGATTGTAAAATATGCAAAAGATAATCTCCCTGTCCAGGAGACACTTACTCGAGGCTATCAATTTTTTTAACGGAGTTTATTCACGATATAGAAGGTAGGTTTCTAGCTTCCAGAGTTTGTTGTAGTCGGAGTGACATCCGTCTTTATAGTTTTGTTCTTGCATTAGTCCGACTATGAATTAATTTGATATTTTCAAATAATAACTGCAGTGAAAATGGTCAAAGATGCTGATTTAAGCATAACGGTTCGAGCGAGATGCGACCGTAACAGAAGAAAGAACGAGGAACCTCATTCATTGTCAGTTGTTTTTAAACGCTCATCGACGGTTGAAATAGTGAGAAATGATTGCAGTTTTGTGTATTGCTGACAAGAATTTCATTGCGAGAGAATTTACTTTGACAGACAGTTTTTTTCAGAAATGCAAGTAAAACTGCACCTTTATTATTTTAACTATCACCTTCCATTATGTATCCAATAAAGTACTTTATTACAAAAATATTTATTTTGCAATTGTCATTATGTCAACTACATGAACCAAGAGTTAGGCTGGGTTAAACAGAAAATTGTATTATATTTTAACTATATATGGGTATCTAACAGTGAGAACAACCTCTTTCGCTCTTGCTGACAGTGCGAAAGTGTCCCAATAAATCTTATTTTGAACTTTTTGATCACTGATTGTTTATGATCGCTCATAAAATAAGGGTCCTTGAAAAGTAGTTATTAGACAAGCTACTGTCCACATTTGGTCAATACTTCCTGCTGCAGTGAGGGGAATTATCCTATCAAAAAAGTGAAATTCCTTAACCCTTCTAATGGCCCTGTCTACTTGAACTCTGAAATTATGTACCTGCTTGCTACTATCTATTTTTTTCTAAGAAAACTTCCCCTTGCTTGATAGAAAGGTAGGCATTGTAACCTTACATCCTATTGACTCTAAAAGATCACCAATAGTAAAACCCTTGTCTGCCTTAATTTTGGTCACCCTTGTCAAGCAAGTTCAAAAGTCCTGATTGGCTGACTAATTCTTTATCGGATATACTACCATCAAAAAGTGAGCTCACATGAATCACCTCACCCGAGGGTGATATAACAACATTGCCCTTGTACGTTGCGTGGCTCTTGTATGATAAAGAACTGCACTGTTTGAAACCATGCTAGGTGCCTGCACCTTGATTTCAGAAGCATCTATGATGCCACGGCACTTGGAATACATATATCTTATTAACCAAGCGCGAGGGCCGTACTGGGAGAATATTGGCCCAAGGTCTTGACAGTACGGACCGAGCGCAGCGAGGTCTGTACAAAAAAGACCGAGGGCCGATATTCTTCCAGTACGGTCCCGAGCAAGCTTGGTTAATAAGAGATTTATTATGCGACTGAAGTTCAAAGGGACACAAGTGCGGTATCATTCGGGACCATTCGGGACAGTGCCCGGTCCAATACTGAGAGAATATTGACCGGCAATAGAGCATTTTGATTGGTTGATTTTAGTTATTGGCCCTCTGACTGCCCGAGTCGTGTAATAAATTATATTACACCTGTTACATTTCAGAACAAGCCATGACAAAAGGANGACACCCACATATAATACAAGACATGTAGCTCAGCCAGGTCATCCCCTAAATTTTGAAGGGATGAACCATTATCCTTAAATTATAGTAGAGACTGAGCAGGCTTAACTGCTACAGTATATTCTAGTGCTATTATATCTTATTAACCAAGCGCGAGGGCCGTACTGGGAGAATATTGGCCCAAGGTCTTGACAGTACGGACCGAGCGCAGCGAGGTCTGTACAAAAAAGACCGAGGGCCGATATTCTTCCAGTACGGTCCCGAGCAAGCTTGGTTAATAAGAGATTTATTATACGACTGAAGTTGAAAGGGACACAAGTGCGGTATCATTCGGGACCATTCGGGACAGTGCCCGGTCCAATACTGAGAGAATATTGACCGGCAATAGAGCATTTTGATTGGTTGATTTTAGTTATTGGCCCTCTGACTGCCCGAGTCGTGTAATAAAGAAAGTTAACCCATGATAAAAATAGAGAAAGTAAACCCATGATAAAAATACACGACTTACAGTTGAAACAGAAATAATGAAATCCTCAGCCAATTTTTCACTTAAAGTACCCAGCCTTAACTTAGTAAGGCACAAATAACATTGGTCAAATAAAGAAAGTTTACATGTTTTGACAGTGTTCCTCATGACTTCTACATCAGATTTTTCCTTATTCCTAATTCGCTGTATTTGTGACCAAGAATACATATTGTCTGCGGTTGGTTTTATGGCATTAGAAGTACTTATGAGGAATTGGAAGGAAGAGAAGCCAGTGTGGAATCTAACACGTTTGTCTAGCATTTCTTGCAGTTATTTACAGAGTGACTGTTTCCCTAAAATTTGTAAACAAACGATGGACTATGAAAAATCGAAATAAAATTGTTTTACCTCGGATTTTTTCCCTTCATCCCCCCCTAATATTTATAATCCATCGACGCTTTAAGGCTTTGTCTTTCGGAAATTGATGTAAAGAAATGATAAACTGCTGCTTTGATCTATTATTTTGGCACAAAGGCACGCAACAATTATCTCGGTACGGCATGATTGCAAACGTGACCTTGATCACGCGTGACAGCTCTCATGTTAAATTACGTAATGAAAAATTCAAGATGGCGGCTCCTTGATAAAGGCGAATTACTCTGTTAGCTATTGCTTGCGCGTGACTTTCTCCGCCCTTTACTACTACCTTAGACACCGTGGTGTCGTCAACATATTTCCACTGCTGTGCGTTCGTATCAAGGTCGTTAATCATAAGGACGAACAACCGCGGGCTTAGCTTGGTACCCTGTGGTACGCCGGCGGGGACTAGGCACTATTCAGAAAAACACTGCTGCAAGTTTAATCCGCTGGGATCTGTCCGATGAAAATCTACAATCTAGTTGATAATGCTAGCTGGTAATTTACACTGGTTACGCAACTTTCTAACGAGTATACTATAATCTATCAAATCAAACGCTTTACGGTAGTCCAATAATAATGTTCTTACAGTGGCTCCGCTTCCATCCATACCCATGGACCAGTTGTGCAGCATATTGATTAGCGCCATTGTAGTTGAGGAATTTGGGATGGCTCCATACTGCTTGTCATAGAGGATGTTCATGACCGCAGGTCTCACGAAACCATCCACGACGAACTCTTCCGCCACTTTAGAAATACAGGGGGTCAGGGATATCGGTCTCAATTCCTTTTGGATGTCGAGCACTGGTTTATTTTTGGGAAGGGGAGTCACGTCAGCCATTTTCCAGATGGCAGGAAGGCGTTGTTCAGCGTAGGAGGAATTCAGGATTTTCATGATGGGATAGGCCACCAGGTCGCAGTATTCTTTCAGCAGCCAGCTACGTGTTCTGTTCGGTCTACAGGCCCTCCTTGGATTGAGGACATCCAGTACTCTTTGGTTACCCTTAAGATCTCAGGCGTGTCGGACTCGAGAGGAACCCGTTCAAGAGGAGCTGGTAGGTGATACTCCTTCATTGGTTTTAGGAGAGCGGCATTGATGGCATTGGCTTACTCTTTGAAAGGAATTTCTGAGAATCCTTCGATGTTAATCTGGCTAGCTAAATCGCTGTGGGAGGTCTTTAGGCCGCACAGCCATCTTGTTTCGTCCAATAGTAGGAAAAGGGGGTTTCTGGCACATTTTCAAAATACCCTGAAAAACAGGGCAGTTTTGAAAAATGATTTTTTTCATTTTTTATCTCATTTTTAAAAAAAACCATGTTTTTGAGGCGCATTTTTTTCTTTCAAAAATCAAAGAAAAATTTGAAGAATAATTTGAGATTTTATTCAGTGGGTTTCTGGCACATTTTCAAATTACCCTGAAAAACAGGGCAGTTTTGAAAACTGACTTTTTTCATTTTTTATCTCATTAAAAAAAAGAACGATGTTTTTGAGGGAAAATGATTGGCGCTATTTCTTTCAAAAAAATCAAAGAAAAATTGAAGAATTTTGAGATTTGATTCAGTGGGTTTCTGGCACAATTGCCTGAAAAACAGGGCAGTTTTGAAAAATGATTTTAATTTTTATCTCATTTAAAAATGAACAACGATGATTTTAAGGCAAAATGATTGGCGCAGTTTCTTCAAAAATCAGAGCAAAATTGAAGAATTTTGAGATTTGATTCTCAAGACAATCTCAAGATTCGTTTGAGCCATCAAAAAAAACTAATGACAATATCTCAGAAAAAACTTAAGGTCGAGTTTTAAATAGGTCACACTTTCAAGCTCTCTGTTGACGATGTTGAGCTGAGCATCAGAAAGAATGAAGATGTGACATTTAACATTTCCTGAACCCGATCCTTTCCTGTTAATTGCAAGATGAACTCCATCTTTTGTATTCACCAATCTCAATCCTGAACCGTGAAGATCATTGTCTCTCATGCTTCTAAGATCGATAAAGAGACCGAA